GGTATTTGAAGAGTGGCCATCGACAAGTTGAGGACCTTGGTGAGAGAGTTTACTCCCGTCGAGCCTAGATGTTTTAGCATTAGCATGCTTATTCCGTCAGGGCCAATGGATTTGGACGATTTGGCCTTTGTGATGTGGTGAAAGTAAGTGGCGCGCGGTCTTTTGGCATTCGCATTCGCGCACTTCTTCGGGTCCGAGGAGGCATGACCATCGAATTGAATTTCAACCCGATCGTCATGTCTCCTCGGAACAGGGCCTTGACAGTAGTCCAAAGGTAACTCACACCGGTGGAGAGGTTGCAGGACTTCAGGTGCTCTATCCATTTTGTCCGCTTATGATTGTTTACCATTTGCCGAATCTCCAAATTGAGATCCCTTATTCGGGGACCACAGGGATCGGCATGGCGTAAGGTGTCGCGCTCGTTTGGTAGTACAGCTACTTCGGCTGGGAAATTAGAGCGGAGTTCCGCGATTCTTCCAGCCGGTATGAAGCGAGCAGTAGCAGCGGCGATCACCTTGCGGAATTGACGCTAGCCAACGATGACGTCCGTAGGAATGGGTAGTGCGTTGAAGGTGCTCTCGGTAAATTCTGTGAAGCCGACCAAGTTGGCTTTGTTAAAGTTAACAAAGGTGCAGTTGTCCACAGAAATAAAGTCAGGAGGTTTCTCGATCGAGTAATTATGGGCAGATGGTCTGATGCGAGAGTTAGCATAGGTCGCCAGGTTTTACTATTTATCAGACCACCGCTAGCGATGGTAATATCTGGCGAGTTTTACAGGTGTCCATAATTCTGGGGGGCTTCGTCATTCGTTGTGCAGAATGTCGAATCTACAATTTGTTCCGCCAGCTCCATCCCCTACGATCGTTTGACAGGCAGGAATGCCAAAGATCGTGATGCGCGTTAAAGTCACCACGAAGTAGCGCATCTATGTTCGGCTGATATCCTGTTGGGCAACATGTAACTGGGGGATGTATATATTTAATATTTCGAGCTCGACATCGCCTGACCGGACAGCTATACCCTCACATTCAAGGGTGGTGTTGATCGGCGACGCCACTGTATGTGATTGCGGGGGCAGACTCCTACAGCATGGGGCAACATACGACGCACTCACTCTCGTGTGTATGTAGATACTAGGGCTGTCAAAATTATTCGAATAACCCGAAAACCGATTATGAAATATCCGATTGGTAACCGTTCGTATGAATACTACTCAAATTGTCGTAACATTGCGACTAGTTGCTCTGCTGCGAGTATTTGAATAAATGGAAATTGTTTGAAATCCAAACAGCATTTGATTTTGCTTGTTTTAAATTTGTGAAAATACCAATTGTGCGCGTATATACTGCAAAGTTTCTATAAATGTATATGGTATATATATAGTATATATATATATATATATATGTACATATATTATATATATATGTATATATCATTCTATAAACTTTTATTTATGTATAAACGTATATAAATAAATGGTTTAACCGGATAGTCGGAAATGAGCGGTTAATCGAATAGTCGACGACTTACGACTATCCGGATACTGCAAACTGATATTATTATTCGGATAATGCCTTATCTGGATAATCCGCTTAGTCGATTAGTCGAAGAGCTCTAGTACTTACATATTAATGTGAATATGCTAAATCAAGTTTCTCGAATTTTTGCGTCGTACGAGAATGTTTGTTTTGCTGCCAATAACTTTAAATTCTTCAATTTCAGTTTCAGTAGGACCTCAAATTCTCTTATTAATCCAAATGAGTGACGACTTCCACAGTATACATTTTCGATATAGAAATTTCGATAATTCAACAGCCTGGCATAGCTACGCAATCAAGTTTCAGCCACGACAGCAGATTTTTGTTATTATTGTATTTTGCAGTTAATTTTTATATAAACACGATATGTCTTCGTTACTTGAGACCATGCAAAGTTTGCTTTTCTTATTAATAACGACATATACACATGTACACACATTGCGAGTATATTGTAATAAAAATTTAATTTTGTATATATCCTTAACCATATACATATAGTGGAAAAAATATATCATAGTAAAAATTGTTTCTCAGCAGTATTTTAGATAACTGTAAAATGAGGTTGAATGAGAATACTGACGTCATCAAAGATAAAGAATAGTGTTAGACATATGATTCATGAAAACTATGTAGGTAAGCGAACTTTCTGTGGAAAGGGCTAGTCACATGAGCTTGCAAACGACCGTTTAGTGTCACAAATCAATGAAAACGATGGGAAATTATATGGTTTGGAATCCACAGTATTCTACAGATATAGTTCGACGATTTTTCTGCTGTCAGACTTAAAATGAATGATCTCTGGAGAGAAATCACCAGACTAAAGATTCTTTGAAAATCAATAGCGCTATAATTAGGATATAGGAACTTCACTCATTTATAGATCTCAAAACTTAACTGAAACTTAATTTCAACAACTAAGCTAACTGTCAGAAAAGTCTACATACAAAATCCTAACAAGTTTTATCAATGATAAATTCTTGATATACGATTTAAATGGTTTAAATATGTAATTTATTATTAGTAATTCACATAGCCTTTTTATTAACATTTAAAGGAAATATTTTAAAACCACAAAAATGTATGATGACGAATTTTACGCTCGCTTAAAACCATAATTAGCTAAACTCAGCTCTTCGCATCGTATACAGTATAATTCAGAACGAGTAATTTTACCAAAATGCAGTTTCGTACCACTTGAATTTTGACCGTATCTAGTAAGCACACTTATTCTGCAAGTAAACATACATATATAACTTCCGCTTGCATCTTTGCAATAGACTTGGCAAATTGTATCCGAAGTTTCACAAACTTCATAGTAACTGTAAATGATTGTGTGTGTTACAAGACACTTCATTACATCCTTGCTTATAGTGAACAACTCTATTAAAAATAATTCACAATACACCTCGAACAAAATTATTGTATACGTGACCGCGATGACAATTATAATGCCGAAGTGCCGGCAAAATTGATACTTGTCGTTCAGTAATCAAAACAAAATAAATAGTCATACCTCACTGAATAAATATTTACCTAGCTGCTTGTATATTCAGTGCAATAAGTCAATAAAGGTTTCATCTGTCTCAATAGGTCATTTGCAAAATTAAATATGTTTGTTCACTTTACACATGCCTTTCGAATTTCATAATTCACAATATTTACTTATATTATTATTACATATGCATATACATACATATATGAATTTAGCTTCTTCAAAAACATATATGTATGTATGTACATAGATAGTAGAATTTACACGAGTAGTATTCAATCAATACTCACTTTTAATAAATTTTGTTAAAACAAAACTATATCACATCCTTGAATTATTGTTAAAATTTTCGAAAGCTAAGCTGCCTAAAAGATTCATTAGATATTTTATTCCAAGAATACATAAGTTACATAAGAACTAAATTGAAGAGTGATGGACTTTCTACACGTAAAAATCATAGCATTGACATTCAAGCGTGCGAAAAGTAAATTATCATCAGCATTATTTACTGATAATGCAAATACGACTACATTCCATTGTCACATTTTAATACAGGTACTCACTGCTCACTTTTTATCAGTTGGACAACTACTAAAATTAACCTAATTTATTTATTAACCTGTGTTAGCAGAATATTTACAGCATTTCTATCAATTAAGGAGCGCAATATCCTTTCTGCAAATGTGCTAGAGTATGCAGTGCATTAGATTATGTGGTAATTATTATTATACAATCTTATTGTATAATAGCAGGTTTATCTGTAATATCTCATTGCTACCTTGAAGATAAACTTACCCCACGCGAATGTGGTGTTTATACACAGAATGAATATGTAAAATAGTCGACGTTGGAAATTTAGCATTTTGCAGGTTTGTATATTCCTAAGGTGCTGATAGTTCTTCAAACGGTGACTTCGTGTCAAGTGTCGTATATTATATTATCATATAATTTTTGAAAAGTGCGTTTATATCATATATCTGTGGTACTTTTATTCCTTTTGAGTAATCTAATATTTTTATCACTGTACCGTAGCCTTAACTAATGGACTAAGCGAGCGAATTGTATAGGAAGGAAATTGAATGAGCGAAGGATATTTATTTATCGTAAAGTCCGCGTTTTCTTCTATTTTACATATGCGGTAGTACGAATTCTCGCGACACTTTCGGACATGAGAATTCAAGTTTTCGTCTTGACAAATTATCACTCACTGTCGCATTTAGTTACTTAAATCTGACGTTTTGTTGCATTAAACGACAGAGTGGCCGCAGTTTTAAAATTGCAGTGCTCACCTTATACGACATGCGGTTTTACGTAACCGGAACGGAAATCCGGCTAAAGCTGGAACTACATAGCTCGCGTAAGCGTACGGCTAACAGATGAAGAGAATACACATGTTATATATTATCTGTTTCGAAGCCTAAAGAATATTTAAGATATTTTATATCAAATTAATAAAATTAATCAATTAAGTGCTTTTTCTTAAACATATTTTATTTAAACATGAATTTCACCTTTAAATTTGCTACAAACATATAAAAATTGCAGTAAAATAGTTTTATTGAATTTGAGTATTTTAGAAATACTTTGTATACAGATCAAAATATAAAAGCTTTCAAACACGCCTCATGATACTCATTATAAGACCATGTTCGCTAATAGAGCATGAAGTAAAGTAAATTAGAGCAACAGACATTCCGAACATCAATACCAAGCCAAATATAAGATAATGAGGTGTCTTGGTCTTTGTTTTGTAGATCTATAAAAGATAAATATGTATTTGATGGCATACATATGCTTTGTAAGTTTTTATTTTAGTTTAGTATTTAGTTTTTAATCTGTCGTATTTCTTTAAACTGACAGCAATTTTTTATTTATACTTCTTTATTGATGCTCGGCTATTGTACTTTATGACCTGAAACTGAATAAAATTATACTATATAACAGAGAGACTATTACTATCGGTTTATATAAAATTAACAAAAAATAAATCTATGGTATTTACACAAACATTGTTACTAAAAACGAAAAATTAAAAGCAATAAAATTTAAAGTGATTACAATTGTGTGGTAATCAAAAATACTATTCCTAAAATATTGGAGATAAAACATGTGAAGACCAAATGATATGGGTGAATATTATCTGAAGTGATTGTGTTCAGTGGATCCATACATTTGTTGGACCTTTTATAAAATTTAACCACTTATACATAATATACATACTTTAAAATTAGTTTCCATGCAATTCAATATGCCTATATGTATGTCTGTATGGACGCAGTCAACAATTTAACCATGATTATGTTTGCATATTTCTTTAAAAACTCTCATCATCTATCATTCATATATAATAACTAAAACAAACTATTTTCCTATTTGAAATTTCTCTAGCGCGTGCTAAATACACTTATATATCTACAGATTTGGATTTATTTCTTTCCTTCGAATATACCACTCGGTGCTTCTGTGAATTTCCTGAACTTTATGTGCAAAATTAAAACGAGACACGGTTTTATGACAAATCCAACGTACAACTTGCCTCAAACGCGTCGAAATCCATGTGAAAACTGCACCAGCATGTTGTAACTTCGATACGTAGTGCTTGATGTGGTCTGTATAAAAAGTTAAGGAACCCACACGTATACAATTAATTTAATTTAAATATTTCATGAAAGTCGATAAGTCGAACACGTTGTAACACATCTAAATATTTATGTTAATAAGATAGCCAAAGTTCGATTTATCAACTTTCACTCATAACTTGAATTTGAACAGAAAAGTAAATTTGTAAAGGATATAATAATGTCCACGGTTGATGACCTCCATTGATGTATGTGACATATGTAAAACCATCTTCCTTACCTCGAATGTATAATAATAGGAAGGAATGAATGCAAATGAAATCTGAAAAATAAAATGTTGTAGCAAATGATAGTAAATTCTTAATAAACTAAGAAAAGTTCCCATAATACCTTCTTTTTCATAGAATTGTATGGCAGGTTGGTTTGTGGTTAGCACATGTAAAAATATCGCTTTCACGAATGACGTTCAGCGGTCGTCAAATGATTTAGCAAGGAGTCCAACAGATGACCCAATCCCATTTCGTCGATGTTTTCGATGCACACCCAATGAAAGTATATAACCAATGTCAGCATTACGGCCCATGGAATCTGGTAAAATTCCTTTATCCTAAAAGCAAAAACATTTGAATATTGTTAAAAGAAACTGATTTATATTTAAAAGCACATTAAGATTGGACCTCTTTGTTAAGATTTCTGTATGGTTTGATTTCGGCAACTATTAATCCTATATAGCTAGATTGTAGACAGCCGCTAGCGCGAAAAACGCGAACTGGATGTAATATCTTCGTACCATGACAACGGATAATCAATGGGAAACCAATCTTGGCATAATGTTCTTACCTTAAAAGATATTTATACACACAACGAAATTATTAGACAATTTATAACCAATAGTTCGAAGTACATTCTTGTCTACAAATATATACACCTCAGTCAAATCATCTGAACCAAAATCTTAACTGAACATCAGTAATGGAACAAGCGGTACATGATGTTCAGTATCCGCACGATTCACATTAGATTGAGACAGGTTGTGTTTGTTATACCTGTAATATGAATTTGTACATTATTTTTATTTTGTTCAAATACAATAAAAATATAGCAAATACATATCTGTACGTACATATGTATGTATATACGAACGCATGTGATAATTTTACATTTTTAGAAATCAAAATAAGTGACATTAAATAACGAAGCTACAAATCTGAGCTACCGAATCCCGCTATTACGATTGAAAATGCAAACGTACATTACAATTTAACTTTTATATTCGATATTTTGTGAGATGCGAAAATAACTCAATAACCACTGGATTCAACAAACAATTTATGTATGTGAGTACATAGGTACTAGACTGTAAAACTCTGTTTAAGCTTTTGAATTATATGACTTTTAAATAAGCATATTCTGATTTATTCAAGTACACTGAAAACTCTTTAGTTTGAATTTATTTAATTTAATGGTAGGTTTGTCATTTTGAGCATTTAAATGCATAAGCACGTTTACTGACGGCACCTTCCCTCTTATGTCTTAGCTTAGGACAAAGCAAAACAAAACAGAGAGCCTCCTCACATATATTCAAATACAACTTAAAAATATCAGGTGAATTAAATATTCCACCAAATATTATAGTATATTCTTAACTTTTAAATACCATACAGTACAATATTCATATTGGATTCATACTACATACAGATACTTACCAAGTAAAATGTGCCATGGAATTGCATGTAGTCACATCAGTTGTCCACTTATAAATTTCTAATAGGACAACGGCTATGATTGCAACCACACCAAATAATAACGAAGCAAACAAAATTTTGGAACTTATGTAGGTATATCCTTGTATGGAGCAAATAATAAATGTGTGTTGAGTTACTGTTTTCTTGTGTTAACAATTTGTAACCCCATTTCTTCCTTTTTTGTGCTTTTGAACTCAATTTCATATAAATTATGTATATATTATTTTAATTGTACGCTGTTAATATTTGTGCATTAAACCGCATACTTTAACATCAATCAAAAATTCAACTATTTAACACTACTCCGGCAAACACTTTCATTTGAACACATCACTTCATGTGTCATTTCCATCAGCTAAAACTTATCATTCAATTGAACCCAATATTCATTGTTTATCTACCAATATTCTGTGACATATGTGTCCAATCCAACAAAATACCAAATCTTCCTGCTGCCTTCAAAGCTTTAAATCATGACAACTATTAATTACTAAATTTTTACTGTATTTTGATTACTTCGTTAAATAGAAAAACTAAGAACAAAAACAACACAGGCTGTCAAAATTGGAAAACCGTTAGCATTGCCAACACTGACAAAGTAAATTAAACAAATATTTTTCCGGTAATAAAAATATATAAAATAATATTAAACTATTATTGAAACATCTTTTACCGTTATAATAATCTCTTAAAGTCAAAACCAATATTACAAATACGACAAAATCTATATTATCTATATATATTTTTTCAGTTGTAACAATTAAAGAATGTGATGGTAGCGCTAAATTTTCGGTCAGCTGTTTAGTTTCAATGTCAACAAAGATACAGTATATTTACACATAGTACTTATTTGGAGCAGATTTGAATATTAATTATCTCATTAGAGGTATTACCTCTTTAAGCAGCAAATAATAAATACCTCTGAGGTAACTACAGTGATAATTACTATCAACAATTAGACATAAAATTTTCACACAAAGGGATATACTAAATTATACTATGTAATGGCCATGGTATGTACCCAAAGAAGCAAGCAAGTTGCTTATAATGTTGCTTCTAAAAATTCCAGACTATTTAAACACATAAAATTTCCATAAAAAAAGTACAAATTTATTATTTTTTTTTCAAATTGCAGTGGGTAAATTTTCGTATTAAATGTTTAACTAGTATATAATAGTTTTAGTTCAGAAGGAACCATAAATTGTAAACCATTTAAGAAATATCACAATTTTTTATCTCTAAAAAATTATAATACTTTATAAAAGGTTGCAGCACTTTTACCATGCAAATGAACAGTAAAAGTCAAAGTCAAACAGTAAAAAAATATTTCAAGGCGCACCAAAATCGACTATATACATACTCAGATATTAATTTAACTAATTTGAAACAGTTGTTGTTATTGGACGACTCGTTTTAAAAACAAATGGATCGTATAAACACACAATGAAGGTTAAGGATTCATACACAATACTTGTATGAGAATATGTACGTAGAAGTAAGAATGTTTATGTATTTGTAACTATTTAGCCTTTCCCTCGACAATATTATCCATTTTTAAAGATTTTCGTTTCAATTCATGGCAATGCTCCCAGAATTTAGTGAGTCGCCTCATCAGCATCCGAACAAAAATCACGAAAATCTTTAAGCATTTTCAATTGAAAAAGCTCACCGTCTTGCGAATTTTTAATTAACAACGATTTCCACTTCTTATTGGGAATCATATGATTCCAGGCCCATAAAAATCCACCTATTAATATATAAATAAAACATTAAAATAACATTGCTATCAAATTAGTTATACGATGACAACACCTTCTTTGGTACATTAGTATTATTTGTGTGCCCGTACACACATCGGGTAACGTTCGCTTCTTGTCGACTTGAGGACTCAAATTGGTAGTTGTTTTTGAACAAC